TGTGATTAAAGAGTTGACAGCGAGTGCATTGTATAATGTTGTTGGACTTTCTCGGTGGTTCGACGCGTATTATGCAGTTAAATAATTTATAAATGTTATAAATATTTTTGTTATTTCTATTTGGTTCCAGATCAACAAAAAACATATTAAGAGGTTCTTTTGTTATTCTATGTCTAATATTTAGGATATTACGTACGACATGACCCTGTTTTAATAGTTCTAATTTAATTGCATCTGTGCTTGTTGAAAAGTGTACATTTCTAAGAACAACCCTATAAGCCTTCTCTTCTTTTAATTGATATGTATGATATACGGCATTAGTTTCTTTTAGATGTCTGGATAAAGTTCGAAAATGGTCGACAGAATTACATAGAATTTTAAATGTATTGTTAGCTAAACTTCTCAGGAAATATTGATCGTGCGGAATTATTTCATTTAATTGATTAGACATATCATTAATATCGTCAACTCCGTAAATAAATATTGGAGGGGGCTTACTGACTGGAGCCGGTTTAACTGAGTTGTCATCATTAGCTGTTTCTATTGTTGAAAGGGCCGAAAATCGGTTTTGAATTTTGACATCTATTCCTAATGGTTCAAATGAAGTTTTTCTTTTTTTGAAATTGACTACTTGCCATGAATTAGGAGGTTTCTTGACATCAGAATGTGGTTGAGTGAGGCTTGTAGATGCACTATTACTAGATGATATTACTTCCTGTCTTGAGTCAGAAACTGATGAAGTTGAACGCAGCGAGACCTTTTCCGATGTAAACATATTGGTCCGACCTTCTTCGCGAGGTATCTTGCTGTATTTGCTGGATCCAATAACGGTCTTTCGTAGTTTTGGGATTTCTGATGGTTTACTGTCCGATTCCATATTCGCTTCTATATCTTGATTGAAATGTAAGACATTTTTTGATTCCACAAACGCACATTAGAGTCTCGATTATGTATGGTTTTTTGTAAGCAATTATTTAATTATCTGTACACTTTTGTAAGCTTTTCATGCAATTTTAATAAACCGTAAAATTCAATCTGACATGCACTTGTTTTTTCCCACTTGTTTCCATTCTGAATCAAATGAGACCAAATTTGAAAAAAGTATGTGTGTGAACAGATTTTTTGCCGTAATCGACGTTTTCACAAAAAAGATGGACCGATTTCAAAAATTTAAAAGCCATTCGATGTATCTCGATGAGGACTATTGTTTGTTAGTTTTGTGCGACGATCGGCCAAGCCGTTTCTTTGTAAATCGCAGAAAAGTGAAAAAATTTTCGTCTACGTTTTAGCCCGCAATTCTGGATCGATTATGTAAATTCAAAAACCGTTCGAAAGATATTGGTTGGGAATCGTGCTGATTAGTTTTTGGTGAAGATCGGACGGGCCGTTTTCTTGTCATAAGGTATTAAAAATTTTTTTTGTCGGCGATTTTTATTTTTTGACTATAGATACCATAGTCTTCTAGATCATACTAAAATATTACGGCCATACGACAACTCGTTTAGCTTTAAAAATTTGTCATAGTTTGCAAAAATTAGTATGGCCTTTTTGGCATTTGTCAAAATTAGAACTTTCACCGATTGCAGATATTTAAAGATTTCTCAGTTTTGTGCGACGATCGGCCGAGCCGTTTCTTTGTAATTTGGAAAAAAAGTGTTAAACTTTTCGTCCACATTTAAGCTCATACTACTGAATCGATTTTAAAAAATCAAAAACTGTTCGAAAGATATTAGTTGGGAATGATACAGATTAGTTTTAGGTGAAATTCTATCGAGCCGTTTTCTTATAGCTAACTGTTGAAAAAAAATTTAAGCCGATTTTTATGAAACTTTTTTTGGCGATATATATCATGGTCTTACAGAACTTACTGAAAAATTACGGCCTTACGACAAGTAGTTTAATTTTAAAACTTCATCAAAGTTTGAGAAAATTAGTAGTAGTTGTTTTGACATTTGTTAAAATTAAAATTAGACAATTTACTTAGTATAACGATAGAGTATATGGTCTTAATGAACATACTAAACAATTAAAATTCTACAAAAAACTGGCTCAATTATAAAAATTATTGATTTTTGAAAATTTGCTCTTAAAAATTGTTCGATTTGCAACAATGTGTAATAAATCCACTTCGAATACTTTTAACTACTTATAAATTAATTTATCTATCATGGATTAAGTCAATTATTTACACAAATCGGGAAATTCATGTAACTTGTCTCAAGGCAAAATACCAATATCAACTAGTTATTTTAATAAATTTAATTGAAAATTCGCTAGCAATTATCATAAATATTTTGGTATTAAAAATGCATTTGTTTCACTGAAGTTACTTTTTAATTTAAATTGCAAGAATTAACCAATCTCTTGATATTCACTTAAAGATTTGTAAAGATATCATTTTTTCATATTATGTAATTTCAATATAAATTTATATTAATTACTTAAATCCTATAACCCAAAACATTTATTCATGATTACACTTTAATAATAAACATATTTTACAAATTACAAATTAGGATGGAACTCTAATACTTGCACGGTTCTCCAATTTTTTGTTCATGTTTTTTCAATTTACACTAAATCCATTTTACTTCTTCATCAAATCTATATTAAAATCTGTTTTACTACCATCGATTAATATTATTTTATCTTCTGCATCATCACTTCATATCGGATTTGTTTCTTAGTACATAATTGGTAAAACCTTATATATCTTTTACATTAATCTTATATTTATACTCAACAATGCACTTTTGCTTTAAAGTTAGAAGGCTTTCTAGCCCTTGGGCATAATCTAGTTATACAGAATAGTCGCTATGGGAATGATTCTATCATTTGTAATGATAATAATCTTTTTTTAGTACATTTATCAAATACTTTTATAACCTAAAATAAATGTAATATGTAATAATCTTAAAAGTGTAATATAAATCTTGCTATCATTATATATAACGATGTTTTTTACTATATATAAGATGTGCATTCTTTATTTATTTAGATTTTTTTTAAAAATTTTGAAATAATTTTTTTTTGCCTTCCCCAAAAACTATTGGTTTTTAAAACTGTCAACACAAGCAAATTGTTTTTTTGAATAATTCAAATCGGATACTTCGTTTTCTCAAAAACTACAATTTTTTGCACATTTAGCTCCTTATCTTCGAAACGGCTGGACCTGTCTTTGCCAAAAACTAATCACCACTTCTCTCCATTATTACGAATCGAATGTTTTCTAAATTATTCAAGAACTTAATTTAAATTTTCTGCACTCTTTTCATGTCTTTGCCATAAGTAGGAATCGAATGTTTCAAATCGGTTGATCCGTGCGACCCAAAACGTGGACGAAAAATTTTATCCGCGCAAAACACACACACACATACATACACACGCACATTCATTTTATCTGTGGTATACCAATATGTTCAGAAACTTCTAAATCGTGAAGATCTGCAAAAATGTTCATTTCAGATTTTTGGACGATTACTATAACTTACAGAATTGGAAGTTAAAATTATTACTAAAAAGTATACATTTGCAAAGAATCATAGTTCTAAAAGTGATTCATACTATAATTATTTAATTCAATTTTATATTTTTAATCCAGGGTATTTTAGAACATGATATCTAAACATAGAGAATTGAACACGTATAACAAGAATCAAATTCCAGTAATAATATTAGATACAGAATTCTAGAAATTGGTTATTAATTATATATTTGGTTTTAGTAGCGCAGTAGGAAATTTTAAGATAAACTAGTTGTGCCTTGAGAGCAAATTGCTGAAACTTACCGTACCGTAAGGAAATGATCGAAGAATATTAAATGTTTGCAAATAGATTATTATAAATACTGTAACATTGTCTAATATTTATAAAAATTATATGAAGTGAATTACAAAGTTGAAATTATTTATTTAAAGAATATAAGTAAGCTTTAGAATTTTAGCCAGAATTAAAATTAAAACCAATTTTTTTTCGTACTAAAAAGGATTTTTTTAAATAATTTTTTTTTCCGAAAGCAATTGTTTTGTCAACACAAGCAGAAAAACAGAATCGTTCAAATCAGATACTCAGTTCTCTCAAAAACTGTCATTTTTTGCTCATTTAGCTCCATATCTTTGAAATGGCTGAACCTGCCTTTGTCTGAAAACTAATCACCACTTTTCCCAATCATTACAAATTCAATGTTTTCTGGATCATTCTCAAAAACTCGATTTATATTTTCTGCACTCTTTGCTCCATATCTCCGTAACGGTTGGACCTGCCTTTGCGAAAAACTAATCAGCACATCTTCCTACCAATAGGAATCGAATGATTTTTGAACCATTCAAATCGGTTGATCTGTGCGCCAGAAAATGTGAACTAAAATACTCATACACATCAAATTTTTCTGTGAAAATGCAGACTGTATAATCAACTTCTGCTATATATTCAATATCCATTATTATCCACCATTGTTTGATATTTTGTCCACTGCAGGGCATAAATTTTATCACAACAATGATGAATTTTAATTCTTAATGAAAAACTTTATTCAAAGTCTTTTACCAATTAAACTTAATTAACAAAGCAATTTATATTATATGTGACAATTCACAACAACGCATTAATTTTTTGCATCACAGAAAATCAATCATGCGAGAGAATGTCTCGTCTCGTCTGCGTTGTTCGCGAATGCAAATGATTCGCGAAAAAGGAACAAATATAAAAATTCGCTCACCTTCGAATCCAGGAACAGATGTCAAGTGCTCTAGTTAGTAAAAAAAAAGTTATTTCCACAAAAAGTGCATAATAAAAAGCATATGATTTTGAATCACTTTCTCCTCATGTTACTGTCACTACAGATAGCTCTATATTCTCGGGTGCATGTGCTATTGGAGTGCCTTTCTTTGCGGTATATAAGACTACATGCACAGTTTACAAATTAACAGTGAACATTAGGTCTTTTGACTAGAAACATCTATTTTAGTGTTGTGTGTCTTTGGCATTTTTAATTTGTACAAAATGGTAGCACAAGTAAGTACACATTTTGGATAAATCGTCTGCTACAAATTCGGGAAGAAAACGTGTTGGAAATAGAAAATAATTTGTGATTGTCTAGTGCTTACATAATTTATTTTTAGTGCTTTTTGAATTGATGATTAACCCTCCGTCGGGCGCAGCTGATCTGACAGATACTGGGCAAACATTTTTGCATGTTTCCTCTTAATTTGATGTCATCGAGACCTCCATATTTCAGTAGCCTCGTTATTTTATGTCTACTATTTATTCGTCCATATTAGATTGTCTTTGAACTTCGCATATTTTGCTTGTAGCAATTTTGGTAAAAAAAAACGTACTGAGCCAAATTTTATTTGACGTACAAAATGGCAAAAAACACTAAATTTTTACTACCCTAATTGTATATATAAAATTATATATAAAATATAAAATTTTACTGCCATAATTGTATATATAGTCTTTGTATTTAAACGTATAAAGGTTTGTGAGTCTAGCATTTTGAGCGCATGTACGGATTTTTAGATTTTGCTATATTATAAAAAATAATATTGATATAATATATATTTTGTTTTTGTTTACACATAATATACATATTCAGCATTGTAAAAACGCAAATTAAATAAAAATATATAAAACTATAAGCCTCCTATCAATATACTTATAATCTGTATCTGTCAGATACACTGCGCCCAATTCTGTACATATTTGGACTGCGCCCGACGGAGGGTTAAAAGGATTAAAATCACCTGTAATGGACTTAATTTATTTGTAACATTTGCGACAAATTTAATATGAGTTTTTTGATACTTATGCTATGAATTAAATATTTTAATACTTATCTGGCACAACCAAACTTGCAATAATTTACAAAGTTCTCTTCTCAAATTTGTAAACACTCTTGATATCGAATTAAATTTTCTTTTTATTCAACTAGTAAATTATGCGCTTCGATCGAATACTGTTTGATTTAAATATACATCAAATTATATTTCTTCTTCCTTGGTCAAAATCTAGAAAACCTTGTATCTCCTCGCGACGCTAAGCTCCGTGTTGTGCCTGACTTACGCAGCTCCCGGATTTTCCCATGGTGACTTTGGCCACCTCTCCGGCGGATACGGCCACGAGGACTTTGGCGGTGGTTCTTCTGGCGGATTCGAAGGCGGACACGGCTTTGGTGATGGCGGTCACGGTTTCGAAGAAGGCGGACACGAATCAGAAGAATCTCTAGGAGGCGGCGGAGGCGCTGACGGCGGCGAGGAGCACCATGTCCAACACGTTCACACCACTACCCACGAGCACACTAAACATGTTCCAGTGCCAGTATATCAGAAGATCGGAGTCCCAATTCCTCATCCAGTTCCTAAAGCTATCCCACAATACGTCAAGGTTGGAATCCCACAACCGTATGCTGTTCATGTAGCTGTTAAGCAACCTATTGAAGTGCCAACTTACAAAGTAGTAACAAAAGTTATTGAAAAGAAAGTACCTTATACCGTAGAAAAAACATGTTCCATATATCGTCGAAAAACCTTACCCCGTCCACGTTGAGAAGAAATATCCAGTCAAGGTCCCACATCCTTATCCAGTATATGTCACTATCTACAAGCACGTCTTGCACCACACAAAGAAAGAGAAGAAGCACTAGATTTTTTATCATAAAATTAATGTCCAAGATCTGATTGTTCATTGTTGATTAAGATTCGTTGTTATATGTACATATTTTCCTTTTAGTTATTATTAAAACGACTGTTGATTTTTATATTGTAAATAAACGTTTTATTCAAAGTAAAAACAAAATTATTCATTGTTCGTATTATTATCGTAGTATTTGTTTTATGTTACTAGATTTTAAATTAAAATTTGGTATTAAAACTATTGAATATTACTACTGCATATGTATACGCCGAATACATAATAGTGCAAAATATTTTATTGCTCATAAAAATAATAAGCTGATACCCACAATATATATATATATATATATATATATATATATATATATATATATATCTTGATAGTTTTTTCGACGTTGAAACATATTTCAAAGTAACTAGCAGCCCATTCGTCGAAATAAAAAAGGTATAAAGTATTAAAAACTTTTATTTATACGTTTCGACACAAGATGCGTGTCATCATTCAGCAACACAGGACAAAAACACTCAAAAAATTTTATTTTAAAAAAATTAAACTTATGACATTAGAAAAAAACATTTTTTTGGAAAAATAGATTACAGTCGAGTATTTTGCTCGCTATGGGCGTGTTTCATGCTTCATAATGTTACATTTCAAAACTTTTAGTCAAATTAGTTTTCAAATCTTTAGTTATTCATAATTTTTTCCAAAAAAAAATATGTATATATATATATAATATGGTGGTCCTTAATATAGAAGTTTTCGAATTTCCTTGCTCCCAGGGGCTTGAATGATTCCAAATTGATAAAATAAATTCTCTGAATATTAATATTAACTTTAAGATAGTGCGTACTCCAGCCAAAGTTTCTATGGAAATAATATGGGTAAAATTTCGTTTGGTTTATAACCTAGCGACAAAAGAATCAAAATTTTGTGAATAACATCGTGTTTGCTTATTTTGATCATAAATGAAAAAAATACAACTAAAATTGGATATATTTTATAAAATAAGTATTCAGGAAGAAGAATCAAGAAACTTTGGTTGGAGGGCGAACTATCTTAAAGTTGATATTCATAGAGAATTTTTTAACAATTTGGAAGCATTTCTGCCCCTGGGAGCAAGGAAATTTGAAACATCCACATTAAGGACCACCCTAATATATGCAATATATATATATATATATATATATATATATTAGGGTGGTCCTTAATATGGACATTTTTGAATTTCCTTGCTCCCAAGGGTTCAAATGGTTCCAAATTGATAAAAAATTATTCTCTGAAAGTTTTAGCTCTTAATAATGTCTTTTATGTAGAGCGCAATTCAATCAAAGATTTGTATGGAAATAGCATGAAAAAAATTTCAAAAATTTTGCAGAGCGTCGAATTTTCAATAAAAAATTACACGAATTTTCACTTTTAATTCATTTGTCGCTAAGTTATACCTAAAAATTTTTTTTAATTTTTAATTTTTTTTCCATGTTATTGCCATACGAAGTTGGATTGAATTTCGCACTATCTAAAAGTTAATATTGAGAGCTAAAACTTTCAGAGAATTGGTTTTTATCAATTTCGAACCATTTGAACCCTGGGAGCAAGGAAATTTGAAAATGTCCATATTAAGGACCACCCTAAAAAATATATATACACATTTGTTATTCGTTGATAGATTGATCATGTGTCTGCAAGTAAACAAACACTTGCCGAAATCAAATCACGTCTGGAATTAATTATTCATAAATAGAGCTGGCGATACAGTTGCTACCAAATATACGTTATGGTCATAATGAAATGGAATATTTTCAAATTCTATAAAAAAACTTTTTATATATTATATCTAGAACTGTTTCCCTGCGCATTTTATAAATGACTAAAAAAAGATTAGTGTCAAATAATATTCAAAAATTGTCATAGTATTTAAGATAGAATTGATTTTTATCAACTCCAGCCAATAGTGTCCTTATACCTTATATTTAAATTTAGTATTTATTTGGCCAGAGATTTATAAAGATCGTTTTTACTGATTCAATTTTACTAATCGATGCATTAATTCATTCGAATAAAAATTTACGCAAGTTTTACAATATATAAACCAATTTATTAAGATACCTTCACATTCTATTTCATTCATTGTGTATCTTTTTGCGTTTAAAAATATATTATACATTTCACATATGGCTTTAGCACTGATAAATATTGTAAGAGCGACTGGCGTTATACACTAGATTAAATGAAATGTGTGAGATTAGAAATATTAGTTTCTGGAATGATAAATTACCATTGTCTTAGTATTGTTAACTAATTACTGGTAGTTAAATATTGGCACATTAAAAAACGTATTAGAAATTAAATTCTAAATAGTTGTCAACCATAAAAAGGCATTAAAAACTTCAAACAAACTTAATTTGGAAGTTTTATTTAGTACCTAATAATTTGGGAAAGAAAATTCAAACAAAT